AGGTGTTTGGATTTAAATACAGAAGAGGTGATTAATTGATTGTTACATAAACTGTTTTTTTTTAATAATTTTCAAAATACACGGAGAGAAATGTATAGTAAATTTTAGAAAAATATAGTAAAAATAAAGATAAGTTTATGTTTAAGGTAAATAAACAATATATTTAAATATAATATACAATATACTAGCTCATGACATTTTAAACATTCAATTTTATTAGTTTCTTCAATAAACTTTCTTGACCCATTACTGGTAATACTTACAAAAGAATTGAACCTACTTGGTTGCATAGTATGTACCGATTGCGGTGTGGTTCACGTGATGTTCTTACATCTCGCCTCTGTTGACTTACCAACCATGTTATATAAGCTCAGGTATTTCTTTGTTTTGGGTGTGTTCCACTACTACAAGTTGCTTGACAGTGTCGTGTCGACTCTGATGATACCCAATATAGGTCAAAACACCTGTCTGTCGGTATTTGAAGTTGATGGAAGCACTCAAAACAAAAAACTTTGGCGAGGTGTAGGTTCAATTTTTTCTCATAACATTTTTGTATATTAAAAAGTACAATAAATATGTTACAATTTTTAATTCGATTTTAAAATATTTTATATTTAAAATGGCAACATAATATTTTAAAATTTACTATACTTATTAGTAATGGAAAAAATCTAATTATAATAAGAATTAAAAACAAAATTGGTTGAGAATAATAATATTTTACCTTAAGGTTTAAAATACATGGATATTTAAAAATATCTAAATATGCATAGTATCCCAAATAGTTGTCCCAAATAGTAATATAAATTATAGTAAAGGGTATTATAATTATGGTAATCAGCATTATACTTTTCTCTCCGTGTAGATCATACTATTTTTTTTACTGAATGCATTGTAAAAATTGTCCACAAAAATTAATAGAAAATTTATATATATATATGTTTTTAAATCTATATAAAACTATAACATACTGATATTAATACACCGTTGTAATCAGAAATAAATTATTCTCTTTTAAATTCTGATGTAAAAAAACATTATTTCCTGTCGAGTTATGCAAAAATTGTATAGTAGTTTCGTTGAAATAAGAAAGTTATTGGTATTTAAAGTGACAAAAAAGTGAACGTAAATACTAGACACCCTATAAAAAATTTTAATAAACTATTAAGGGCTTTCGATAAAGTGCTCCTTAGTTAACAGGTACTATACTCCACACCTCAAAGTCCCACCACGTGACCACGTACGGAACGCAGTCTTTTGAAAATTTGGCATTTAAGGCTTTTCAGGTTATGTATCTGTCAAAGAAAGAAATAATATTATGTTTAGGCGTTAAAAATGTATAAATCTTTATAACATTAGAATAACAATGGATGTTTTAAGAATTTAAGAATATAAATACTGCATTTAATGAAATTTATTTAAAAAATCTAACTTCTCTTTTATGAAATAAGAATATCTGTATCAAAGGTAGGTTAATGTATAAGAACAAAAATAATCATCTAATTTTGTATTTTAAGGTAAGAAAAATCTATTTTGACCAAAATAAATAAGTGGATTATTTGAAAGAGTGTGTTAATATGGTCATAAATAAATATAGGTATACTAAATAATTGTTGAATATGGTTTAAATTAAATTGAATCTTTTATACTTCAAATGACAAAACTTGTGCATACCTCTCGGCATTTAAGTTAGATTATAAGAAAACAAACAATTTTTAGAGAAACTTGCAATGTGAAAATATTTAATACTTCCATGATATGTGATTTATTAAAATACACTTTAAGCTGGATAAGAAAAACTACCACATTTTTAAATACCATATTATACAGTCTTTTAAATAATCCAAAATACTTATTTATTTTGGCCAAAATAAATTTTTCTAACCTTAAAATTACAAAATTAGATGATATTTTTGTTATAATATATTAACCTACCTTTAATACAGATATCCTTATTCCATAATAGAGAAGCTAGATTTTTTTAAATAAATGCTGTTTAGTTAAAATTATTTTATGAAGAAAACCAGATATTTGGACCAAATGCACAAAAATATTACTTATTTGGCACCATACACTTTAGAATTTCATTAAATGCAGTATTTATATTCTTAAATTCTTAAACCATCCATTGTTATTGTAATGTTATAAAGATTTATACATTTTTAACGCCTGAACATAATATTATTTCTTTCGTTGACTATACTTTGACAGATACATAACCTAAAAAGCCTTAAATGCCAAATTTTCAAAAGACTGCGTTCCGTACGTGGTCACGTGGTGGGACTTTGAGGTGTGGAGCATAGTTAATCATAAATTAACTTTTTAACATTACAATTAGTGGTAATATCAGTAATCCATCCATCTGTTAAAATTTAAAAAAAAATGAAATATCTCAAAAACTGTTAAAAATAAAAAAAATCAAATTTTAGTATTTCTAGGATATTACGTAAATTTAAAAATGCAATAATATTTATATGGTTTTATTTGAAAAACCAAAATTGATATAACTTCCGGTTTAACCGGAAGTGATAACGCATGAAAAATAAGTTTAAAAAATAGTTAACATTGCCTTATAATTGCCATACAAATTTTAAATCGATATTTTTTTCCGTTCTCCATAAACTTCTAATGAATAGGTTAGGTGAATCACATTAAATGTTTTGTCATCTGTCAACTTGAACACGTTGCATTTTTACTTGATATTTTGTATTGTTTGCAACTCTCTGTCAAATTATATTTTTGCAAAAATTAATTTAGCAACGTTATATGGTTTGCCTGTTTTTGCGGAACCTCAAACCTCTGTAAGGAGGCATAGCTTTTAAATGTAAATTTTATACAAAAAGATTGGTATTAATTAATTTTTTTTTATTTTGAACAGTGGCGTGCCAAAAAAAGTTTCTGTGGTTTGAAAACACCCGGTATAATATTTTATTATCTTAAATAATGAGATAGTTTTGATTATACCCGCACACGAAAAAATTTCTTGTTTTAGAAGGCGAAGTTTTATAAACGCCATTTTAGTTACTAGTTTTATTAGGCACGAGCGAAGCTTGCAAGCGAGTGTTTAATAAAAACGAGTGTCTAGATAAGTTTATAAAACGAGTTGCATACTATACTTTATCTACGGCAAACACAAAGAAGAATTTAAAGCCAATTTTATTTGTCAAACATTTGACATCTGACAAATGTCAACAGAATTAATCTCACTTTTCTCTAATTTATAATAAAGCACGAGAAACAAGAAAAGTTGACAAGTTGTGGCTTTATGGCGCTTTACGGGCTGAAGTTAGCAACAGGTTTTTAGTCACGGGCTGAAGTTAGTTTTAATTTAGTTGACAGCTGTCAAATGTCATACAATCATTAAAATTAAGTGCTTTTCTTGTTAAATAATACTAAATGTGAACATTATTTTATTATCTCAATACAAAAATACAAAAGTATTAAATAGTTTTTTATCGCCAATATTTGAAAAGTTTATATGAACATTGTACTTCCCTTTTTATTTTGCCGGAAGTAAAGTAGATTAAACTTAATTTCGAGTGGAGTGCCCATAAAACATTTTCTTCGCTTTCACTTTGAAAAACTGTTGTTAGTCTATTTTCAGGGGATACGTTTCACAAGTTGGTTACTCTATTGTTTTATAATAATAAGTATTTGTCGTAGAAAAAGTATAGTATGCAACGAGTTTATAAACTTTTCTAGACACTCATTTCATTAAACACTCGCTCGCATACTTGATACATAATATACTATTATTTATTAATAAGATTAATTTTTAAGGGTTTTGATTAAAATCTAAATAAAATAAAAATTTTACATTTTTTATACTTTGACATTTAAGTAAATATGTATACCAAAATAAACTAGCTATTTAATTAATTAAATAAATAAATCATAAAATTACAGAAAACTAATTTAATCACTACCAAAGCAATAATCATCATAATAATAATAACAATATCTAATAACAAGGCGCTTTCCTCCTTTGATCTATTAATTACCACTCTAGCATAGAAATCCATGTATAGTGCAAATTAATATAATAAGAAAACAACTATAAGTGGCAATACAAGCCCCACAAATCATTAAAAATCATGCAACAGATGTTCAAAGTATGTATACCTACAAATATACGAAATCTTCATAACCGTGAGAAATGCATACAAAATTTAACGCACCCAAAATAAGAACGAAACAATTGCTCTTTTCAATTAATGTGTCATTGATTTTTAGATTTCATAATTGAATCAAGCATTGAGTGACAGTAATGTAGAAAAAAATAGTGGGCGACCTTCACATACAATTATGTATATTTTTACGTTTTTACATTTATTTAAATAGTAGAACAACGGTATTTATAAAAAAAGAGTTTTTATCTTTAACACCCATGTAAAGTTTATTTGTACAAAAGTGGGCAAATATTTAGATAACAGTTAGACTTACATAATTTTATAGGATTTAAGTCACATTTTTTAGTTGATAAAAAAGATTTTTTTTTAAATAAATATACTGCTAAAAGTGTAGTGTAGATTTTAAAATGCTTCACTGTTATAAAAATCAGATTTGTTAACATGAGTTTGTAGTTTGTTAATTTTATTTTGTAAAATTTTAACATAATTTTTTGTAGACAAACTACTTATTCATTATAACAAACATTTTGTAGATTTAATAACAAAATTCTGTCAATAATTCAACCATAATTCTTGTAATTTTTAAAAAGGACCTTTTTAGAAAAAATTTTGTAGACCCAGTAACAAAAGTATTTGTTGGAAATTGGGAACTTAAACAAAAATAATTTTGCTAAGAAATGTTGCTTTATTAATCAATTTTCTAAACAAAAAACTTAAAACCAAAGAAATTTGATTAATATTTGGTTAAAATTAACAAATTTGGAAAAAAAACTATAAATAAAAATTAGAGAAAATTTGAAAAATCGATAAACTAAAATTATGTTGCCTAATGTTATCAGTAATTTTGCTTATCAATATTTTTTTTTTCAGGTAAGCAACCTGATAAACCTAAACTTTCATCGAATGGAATTTCTACAGAATCTACTATATCTACATTAACAGAACAAGGTAACATTTTTTAAGACAATGTTTTAATCATTAAGATTTTTACAAGAGCTTTTAATTTATCGGTTAATTTCTGATTTTTTGTTGCATTTATTTTTTGAACTGCTGGATTTCAAAATTGTAAATTTTAGTTAAACAATACGAAAAAAATTTTCAGAATGTAGTCGTACTGTCAAAGGTTCATATTTTTTTAAGAAGATCTACTTTTTTCCAATTTTAACTTAAAGCCAACTTTAGCCCGTGGGAGAAATGCTATTTTGGCCGTTAGTGGGCAAAGTAAAACATATTTTTATCTATTTTAAATATTGACGATTTCACGCAAAAATCGTTTTTTTCAAGCCTACATTTTACTGTTTTATTATCAAAAATTACAAAAAAAAATGAGAAAATATTTTTTTATTTAAATTTTATACAAATTTTAAAAAACAATAACCATTTGATGAATGTTTATAAATTTATTTTTTATTTATTAAAAGGGTTCGAGGAAAGGGATAAAGCATAAATAGCTATAGAATTTTATTTAGAATATAATTTTCCAACTGATTTTATAATTATTTTTTTATTTTAATACATAAAGCACTATACATATATATTTTGACACAAACATGTAAATTTAAAAACGGAAAAAATAGGATCTAAAAGCTACAACACTGCGAGTTGTTTGTAGTTGGTTTCCATGGTAACGCTTTTCACTTTTGACAGTGGCAGAGACAGTTCTATATGCAGTGTTATTTAAAATCTATAAATGAGTTGTGAAAAAACAAGTCTACAAAGAAAAAAGGTATATAAAGCAACAGAAGCAGAAACAACAAAGAGAAGAAAACCATAGAAGGTGAAAGGATGGAATAACTTATAATAAATAACTTAATACACATGTGTTTATTTTTAATAATTTACTTTAAAAACGAAATTATGATACCAAATAAATCAAACCAAATATCCCTTTTAGACGAGAATGACAGATTGATAATTTTGGTTGGATAGAGTCAACATTATCGTTTATTACTGTCAAACTGTGGGATAAATGTTAAAAAAAATTATATACACTCACAGGCAAAATAATCGATCCACACAAATTTTCCATGAATTTCAATCGCAAATATCTTTTTTATTTAATATCTGATATTAAAGAATATTATAGATAAATTAATGGAGAATCGCTCAGATTTTAAAAATATACTAAAAAATAGATGTACGTTTATAATATACAGGTTTAAACAAAAATAAGTTTTTTACCACTTTGTAGAGTGGCTAAACCGTATATTGTTCTAAATTAAGTTTTAATTATCAAGTCACATCTATTCTTAACAGTTTTGTTTTTGGTTCACCTCGATATATTTATTTTTATGGATTTTTTAAAAAAACATTGCAATTTCCAATATTTTTTCTGTACAAAGAAATAAGGTTGCTATGGTCCATCCATAGGCTATGGAGGATGACAGTGACAGTTTTGTTGAATCATCCCATACTTCTCAAGTTATATTTTGCAAATTAATGTTTAACTTTTGGGGTGTCTTCTTACTTTTAAAAATGAATTTGTCTCCGACTAGCAGTTTACTGCAAACGGGAGTGTTCAACCGAAAAAAAGAGTTCGTCGAGCAACAGTCACAGGTGGAAATAATGAAATTATTGTATTAGCAGCAACGGCCGCTAATCCTTATGCAAACACACGAGAATTATCTAGAGATTTGGGAATATCCTACAGCAGTGTTAGCAGAATATTAAAACGAAATGCGAATTAATAAATTCATTGTAGTCGAAGGCCACCATTTTGGGCACCTATATTAATTAAAATTTAAAAAATAAATAAATTTAAAAAATAAAACCAAGTATTTTATTCAAAAATTATTGGAGAATCGTATACAGAAGAAACATCGAACAAAATTGATTTTTTTTCTTTAACGCGCCATCTATTACAAATATGAAAAAATGTTTTAGACAAAATCTACCTATTTTTAGTCGAATGATCCGAATCTGCAATAAAAATACTATGTTTCATTGGAAATTTTAAAGTTACCCCCTGTTCCCCCTATAAGGAGGAGAGTAGAGGACCAATTTTAATACTGATTGATTTTCCCCTCGAATCATTTAATTTTTATTTTAAACATTTTTTCGTAAAATGCATACTAACTGAGATATTTCACCCTGTATATATATATATATATATATATATATACGAGGTGTGTTCAGAAAAAAAAAAATATATATATATATATATATATATATACGGGAATTGTTAAATTTCGCGGGTTCGGAGGGTCCGGTTGTCATAAAATTTTCTTTATTATGTTGGTATACATGCCCCCGAAGTATGATAAAAACTTTAGCTGTTTTCATCGTTTACTTTGTCTGTGGCAGCCGCTAAGGTTAGACGTGTTTTATGAGCTCGGCGATTTTCGTTCGTTAAAAGAAATGGATCAAAGAAATTTGTATCCAATTTTGCTTAAAAAATCAAATAAATTCTGTGAAACGTTAAGAAAGGCCTAAAGTGAGTCTGCTATAAGTAAAACAAGAGTTAACAAGTGGTATAAGAGTTTCCAAGATGGCCGTGAAGACGTTGAAGGTTACGAACGCCCCGAACGGCCAAGCACATTAACAACCGATAAAAACATGGAAAAAGTGGAAGAAATGGTTATAAACTGATAGCTATCAGAGAAGTCGCTGATGATGTTGGTATATCGATTGGCTCATCTTATAAAATTTTTTCGAAAGTTTTGGGTATGAAACGCGTGGCAGAAAAATTTGTTCCAAAATTGTTAAATTTTGAACAAAATTTTTGTCCTAAAACAATACTGTAATGATGCCCCAGCCTCCTTATTCGCCAGACATGCCTCTGTCTGACTTTTTCCTATTCCCAAAAATAAAGAGAACCTTAGAGGGCCGTCGTTTTGCAAGCATAGATGACATTAAAAGCGCATCGCTGAAAGAACTAAAGGCTATCCCAAAGATCAAGTTTTAGAAGTGTTTCGAGTATTGGAAGAAGAGCTGGCACATGTGCATAATATCCAATGGGGACTATTTTGAAGGCGACAACATTAATGTAGACGAATAAATAAATATTTTTTTCAAAAAACGATAATTCCCGATATTTTCTGAACACACCTCGTATATGACAAAAATAGCCAAGTATGCAAAGCAAAAAACAATTATCAACAAAGTAATCAATGATAATTTAAATTTAAATTTTTAATGAATGTAGATTATTACCCACTGGGCAAGCATATTTTGCGTCAGTTGTCATAGGTCAGGAACAATCAGTGACGGCCCAAAATTTCTAATTCTTATTTTGGCGTGTACTATCATCTCCTTAAAGGATAACTTATTTGGTGACACCCTGTATATATATATATATGTATAGGGGATGTATTTAATTAACGCAAATTTTATAACATGAAAATAAGAAATTTATGATTTTTAAAATTATTTACATTCTTATAATTTTTTTTTTTACTTTTAAAAACCAAACTTTTTAAATTTTATTGTATAATTCACAATATTTTCGTGTTTTTTTAGCTACTGTAAGAAGCAATTCCACAGACTTTGCAATAGCTTCGCAAAGATCCTCCTACTCAAATTTAACACCAAGTCCATCTTCAGCATCCACTTTAACCGAGGACGGTAAGTCTTGCATATTAAAGCTACCTAAGTCCATTTTTGTGTACCTACTTAATTTTAAATTCAATTAAAAAAATTGAATATTAATGATTTTAACCTTATGATCGTCGTACGATAAACATGGGCGCCGAACAAATATAAAAAATACAAAACTTATCTACGCGTTATATCCCCTTAAAAATTCTTAAATAATTGACGTGACTGTCTTACACTGGTGGAACAGAAATAAAGCAAAGTGGTTTTCTAATAATTAGCACTACACAGAAGTATGTAAGGAGTATTTTGTTCTTTTTATTTGAGCCATGATGTGCGCTTTTCATTAAGTGAATGGCTCTTTCATTACGAAGAAGTAAAACAAAAAAACGGTGAACACAACACTTTGCTTTGCTGGAAAAATTTCAAACGGAGATACTATACTTTCTTTATGTTTGTTTGTTTGTATAAATTTCCGTGGTGGCAACATATGGGAAACTTTCTTATTATTAATTTTACGAAGAAAAGTTATTCTTTATAAAAAGTTCTGCATGTTTTAAAATCTAAAATAAAATCATCAGAAATAATATTTTTTTCAGTAATATACGAGGTTTAACAAAAATTTTAATCTGATAGAAGAGTACCTTTATTTGTGACAATATCGAAAACTGTAATTATGAAAAGTTGTTTAGAATGAAAAACTATGTTTTAATATGCAATTACAATTTTTTTTTTTAAGTAAGAACATTTATCTTTTTTATTTATTACAAAAATGATAACCTTTTCGTCCCGTTCAGAAAGTAATAAGCAAATTCTAATGTTTGATTTTTGTCATGTAAATGAAAGTAATTGCATATTTAAACGTAGTTTTTAGTTCTGATCAACTTTTTTAATAAGAATTTTCGATATTGTCAAATATAAAGGTACTTTACTCTTGAGTAAGATTCATATTTTTTGATAAACCCCGTATACGACTAAAAAAAATTCATATCTGATGATTGTATTTTAGATTAAAGAAAATGCAGAACTTTTTATGAAAAATAACTTTTATCTTAAAATTAATAAAAAAAAAGTATCCTAAATGTTGCCAAAAACTATTATTTTTGAATTTTTTTTATTTCTATTTCAAGCCATTTTTATTAATTGTTTGTGGAATTATGATTTGTTTTATATTTATAACAATTGTTTCTTGTGTTTTGCATTAAAACGTTTCTTTTTAAGTTTTTGACACTTAATTTTTAATTTTTTTTTTGATATTTATGATATTTATAAATTATTTTTTTATTTCTATAATTTTAATACCTTGCAATAGGAGGTTATTTTAAGTATGACGTATGACATTTACAAAATAACGTGTAAAAAAATGTTAATTTTAATAATTTTTTATATTTTTTGAAATTTTTATATTCATTGTTTTTTAGTGTCTTATAAAATTATAGAAATAAATTAGAAAAAATTAAAAAGGTAAAAAATATGTTATTTTTTATTATATAATTATTATATATGTACAGGGTGTCACAGAATTCGCGCCACAGAGAAAAATGGGGCGTGCTGATAGCAATGAAGATGCCAAATTTAAAAATAAAAAAATTCTAGGTAATAGTGTAATCAAGTGGTATGTTTATAAATTGCTAGGAGACGACACTGTAAAATGAACGTCCTTCATACCCGCTGAACTGTGAACGAAAAATTCGCGTGCAACTTCCCTTATGCTCTTCCTATATTTGCATTAAAGGCATTCAAAATAGCTTCTTTAATAATGACAGGAACAAAATTGACAGCAGTGTCACAATGAAGTAAATTCCAATCAACCAAATATTTTACATACCATAATATCAACATTGCATCCTAAGTATCCTAGCTAGTGTTGGAACACCCTGTAAATATTTTTTATGATTTTCCATAAATTTGTATTTTCATGATTTCCAAGGGAGCTACAGCCCCCGAAAGAGGAGCCCCTGAAGATGGTTTTTATTTAATATCTCCAAAACTGTTTAGGATAGAAAAGTGAAATTTTGGAATATAATTAAACTTTTTATAGTCAATAAGTTGGAATAATAACAAATTCAAAATTTTCATAAGGGGTGGGTCAGATAGAAAGGGAGTGGGGGTAAAACTACCCTAACTTTTTTGTACGTGTCTTGTGCTATGATTTGATATCAGATAAAATTTCAGAGTTTTACACATAAAAAAGGTCCTCTTGATGAAATTCGATAGCATGCACCGTTTTTGCTTAAAATCGATTTAAAAATTACCTTACATAGCATAAAAATTCATAATGAAATCACAACTAGAGAAAAAGATTTAGCGTAGGCCATGGACAATTTTTAAACATGGCCATTTACAATTTTTAAACACCCTGTCACATATTACATGAAACTGTCACCTGTCTTAATTAATTCTTCCTAGAGATGGCAGCTCTGTTCCATGGCCTACTCTGAATTTTTCTCTCTCTTGTAAATTCATTATGATCTTTTATGCTATGTAAGGTAATTTTTAAATGGATTTTAGGCGAAAACAGTGGACAATATCAAAGTTTAACAAGAGGACCATTTTTGTGTGTAAAATTCTGAAATTTCATAATCTGACATCAAATCCTAGCACGAGACACAAGTTAGGGTGGTTTTAACCCCTATTCCCTATCTATCTGACCCACCCCTCATGGAAATTTTGAATTGTTATTATTACATCTTATTGGCCATAAAAAGTTAAAATTAATTCCCAAAATTTTACTTTTCTACCTTGAACGGCTCCTCATTTAGGGGCTGTAGTCTCATTAGAAAGCATTTCTCGGCCTATGTTTATAGGAACTTTTTTTCCTATTTTTGTACGTAGAATCTGCTGTTAAAGTATTGCACGCTAATTATGGGACACCCTGTATTTGTCCATTTTAAAGGTTTTAAATTTTTTTCTTTATCTTCACATTTTTTAATAATTTTTATAAAAATTTGTAATTTTTTTTAGTATTCTTATTTTATTATTAATGTAAATGTTTTATAATTTCATATTTTTTCTTGTTATATTTTTTATATTTTTTCATTTATAATTTTTACCCAACTGTTTTGCATGATTTTCTACAATTTATCTACAATTTGACTAACATAATATATTAATTTTTTTATTTCAATCTGGCCGCTATCCAAAACAACCTTGTTTACACACGAATTAAATTAAATATGTTAAACGAAAACCTTACAACACACATAAAACACAAGCAATCACTTTAAATATTTAAGTATCTCATATTTTAAGTATAAACACTAGCAGGTACAACAAATATATCAAATGTCATCCCAAATACCACTCCGACAGCACCGTGTCTATTATCTAACAAAAACTCGTTCCAAAGTAAAACTTAAAAAGTTAATCAGTACTGCACTGGGTCTGAAAGGTTTCGGCGCCCATGCCTCTCGTTCACTCGAATTAATTTACGTAGCACGAATATCCGCATTCAAAAACAACCAAGTACCTACTTGATTATATTTGCTAACAATGTAGCGAAATGTAGTGTTTTGTGTGGTGTGCTCCTTCCAGCTAAGTGAGTGTCCCTGCGTTAAAAAATAACATTTTAATGAATGCATTAATGCATTACTCGAAAATTTTCTCGAAAATTTTCGAGTATTATTACAGCTCTAGGTTATCGCAAAGGTGAATTGTTCGTGTACATTTCGATAAATTATTTAATGTATATGCCGACGGTAATTAGGTATTTGCTGTGTGATTATACCCAATAAATATCCTTGAGTACGTACGGCATTACTGTATTGCTGTGCCGTATTATCGGTGAAAACATTTTGAAAATTTTAATATTTGTTAATGAAATAATAATACCTATTATTATTAATGGGGCCTATCCAAATTAATGTAAATAACTGTGTAATGGTATATTATTGTACACGAGAGATAATGCGCATATACTCGAGTGAAATATTTATGTACGTTATCTACTTCAATTAGTAAATTATTAAATGATTTTCAAAAATTAATAAATGCCGATTCGCATAGATTATGACATTCTGAACTGAAGCGATATGCAAGTATTTTACGAGGAGAGTGTGGAATATTTTAACATAAATTCATCATAGTTTTACAAAATTTTAGTCTACGGTCTGGATCATCTTCGTTAAGTCCCTGAACTAGTCTAATTTTGTATGGATGGTACTTTTCTTTCTTCATAAGACCTAATACTGAGCGTTGGCTGACTTGACTTTTAGCTGCGACTAGGCTAGAAGCACTTTGAGGATATTCTTCCACATGTAACAAAATGTTACATACTGCAAACATTTTTAAATTCTACATAAAAAATTACTATACCATGTCCTATACCTAAAGTGAATAGTTTTCTAGATGTTTAGGTTTACAGATATGGGGGTAAAATGTTTGTAATCTTAGAACATTGTTTAAAAAATTCCATGTCAATTCTTTAACATTTTTCAACAGATTACCCGAGAAAACCCAGGGCAAATTGGGCTAACTTGAAACGTTAATAACTTTTTTATTTTAAATGTAACACCCGGTATGTTAAGAAATTGAGATGGAATCTTTTAAACAATGTTTTAAGATTCCAAAAATTTCACCCCCATTTCTGCAAACCTAATAGCAAGAAAGTTATAGGCTATTTTTTATTGACGCGTATGAAAAATATTTTAACGGAAAAAATTAAAACTCAAAAACTATTTACTCTAGATATAGGACATGGTACAGTATTTTTACTTAAGATTTTATGTAGAATTTAAAAATGTAAAAATATATGGGGTGTTCTATTTAAAATAACAAAGTTGATGTCACTTTCGGTCAAGCCGGAAGTAGCATTTTGTTTAAAATATTTTAGAAAAATAGGCTAAATTGGATTATAAACGCTTTAAAAATTTTAAATCGTTATCTTTTGCCGTTCCTCAGAAACTCTCAATGAAACATGAACTTGAAACACCCGTATTTCGTAAATGTGCAACACCCTGTATATAATGAAAATAATTTTAAAATAAATAAATAATCTTATGGTTGTCCATTTATTCAGTGAATAAATTTTTCATAAAAATGACAGTATAGCTGTTATCGAATTTGTTATATTATGTGCCGAATACCTCACTTAAAAAAAATGACGTGATCTGAAAAAACGCCAATAATTTATTTAAGTCAATTTTCAAAATCTATAGAAATTTTTCATGGGAGGGAAAAAAATCTAATTTTGTCGTACTGTGTTGTATGCTAAAAAAGAAATATTATTGAAACAGTATTAAAAACTACAAATTTTCCACTTTTAATAATTAATATCTCCGAAACTATCAGCCCAAAAGGTATAAATATGCATATTGTACATCACAATTTCATAATCTATTCGAATCTAAAAAAAGAGGAAGGTTAACTTAAAAAAATGGCCGATTACTTTAAAGATTCTACAAAAATGGCGAAAAATGTGCGTAATTAAAAAACAAAATTGATTTGTTTAAGAGTTTTTTTTTAGAAAAAAGCAGAATTTTTTAATGAATTTGTTCCATACAAAAAAAATAATATTTGGCAATAAGAATAGTTATAAATATTTGTTGTTTATTTTGTATGGTGTTGAATGAATATTAACTTTGGAATTTTGTGATATAATTATAATTACTTATTAGTTTTATAAACAAAGAAGCTTTTTGATACGTTTAATCGTAATTTTATTATAATTATACAAATTTAACTTAATTTTAATGGTTTTAATTTATTAATTTTCGTAATATTTATAAATTATTTTATTCCAAACCACGATTTATTACCAGTTTTTCTAAATTGTTTATCTTTAAGCTTTCTTTTACTCCCAAAGTTTTCGATTATCTCCTAGTATGTTAAAATAATTTAGGTCAATCATGTAAAGTTTTTTCCTTATTTTATTATATGTTTATGTTTTATGGTATAAAACATTATACAGGATGCACCAAGTATACTATGTATGAGTATCTGTTTTATTTAAAGATCTACAAGGTCGGTTGAAATAGAGAAAATTTGCGTAATTAGAAGTTAGTAAAAATGGACTAACCACCGGTTAAATAAGAAGCAGTTTTTTATAGTGAAAGTTAAGATAATGTTTTATGGGAACTTTACCCAAAATTTTTAATGGTTAATCAGTTAAATATAGTTTACTGCTGTCGAAATAAAAAGTACGACTTGCATTTTAACTTTTCAAATATTGGCGTTAAGAAACTGTTTATTACTTTAGTATAACATTTTATTGTTGCTAACTTTAGCTCGTGACTAAAAACCTGTTGATAACTTCAGCCCGTGACTAAAAGGCCATAAGCCACAACTTGTCAATGTGTATTTAAAAGGTAACTTAGTGATAATGGGAGTTTCAAAGGTGGGAGTAGAAAAAATAATTTAAAACAAAATTGAAAACCTGTCAAAACAAAAAACTACGTTATTTCTGGAAATGACAAAAAAAGTAAGTTTCACATGTAAACATTTATCTACTTTTTCAACCAGTTTGTGATTTTTTTGGCCACTAGATTTTGACTATTTGACTATTTTACGCAACTTTTCTCTAATAAAACCGACTTTGACACTCTTAAAATAAAATATACCCATACTTGATGCACCCTGTATTATTAAAAATAAAACTTGGTTTTAAAAATTAAAAAAAAAATGTAATTTTTTTTATACTTAAATTAACCTCCACTTCCAGTGTGTAACACTTTTATAACCTATGTAATTTTTCCTAGTTTGTTTTGATGATTTTCTGTAATCTTAGATTTTTTATCTTTATAAATATTTGTCTTTAAATTCCTAAATAATATTGTTTAGTTCTTTTTATCTACGACACTGCCTAATTAAAATAAATTAAATAAGAACAAAACATTAAATGCAATTTAATCAAGTAGCACTTGCAAATCACCAATCAAATATTTAAACAACCTTATCATCCAAAATAAAACAATAATTCAACCTTATAAAAGAAGACTGTCTCATTAGCAAGTACCTCATTATCGTCACCGTTGACAACCAAATTCAATACTTCAAAAATAAAACACACCACAAAAAACCTTGAACGTGCTACGACAGCATGTCGCACATCGCGATACCATAGAGCAGTAATAAACGAAACAGCTGACGCCTACCATGTGTTTGCGTTAAAAAAAGTTTATTAGGGGATTCAACCATCGAACAAATGGCGGATAGTGGCAGTTCGAAGTCTAGAAGGCGCAGAAACAGGCGGAAAAACAACAAAAACAAGTGCAATGCAGATGATGTCATAGAGACGAACACTATCACCCAAATAAAGGAAGAAGAGTTGTGCAAAACGGACTACAGAGTGGACTCACCTGACCCCAAGGTGATCAAAACCAAGGACATTGTCAGGAAAACTTCGATTACTAAGAGTCGTAGCTTGGACAACGATGAAATGCTCAATATACAAGAATTATCAGACTCAAGTGAAACAGAGCATAGAATCGATAATAACGCCATTATTTCTGAAGCTAGCGAGTCTGAAGTGGAATGGGAAGAAACCGATAACTTACGTATACCAAACAAAGATACGGATAATTGTATACTAAGCAATATTTCGTTACCTTTGGAGGATTACCGCTTGGAGGAGGTTAATTTAATATCACCGGAGGAGGAGTTAACCTTGCGTAACTTTTTGGAGTGTTTGAATTTGGTTAATTCACCTGACGATGATTTATTAAAACATACCCCTGAAATCAGTACAGCTGATAGTATCAAAGAGAAAAAAGCTAAAAAGCGTATGTTGTTGGAGCAATATTTCCTACCTAGGATGAACAACCCCAGGTTTTTGGATGTTATAAGTGAGGAAACCAGTGATACGAGTGATAAAGAAGTGACTTTGCTTAAACGAAACCTAAAACGCGGTACGCCAGAGTTGGATAAACCTAAATCGCCGAGAAAACACCGCCGACCTCTGAGACAAAATGCAGGGAAACCTGTATTAGTCGGGACTAAAATTTTAGAAACTACAGGGGTGCAAAGCGTTGTTCTTCCTGAGACATCATCGAATGTTGAAGTTGTGTTTTTAAGCTCCAGTGAATCTCCCGATACCCTATCGGATTACGACAACCTAGATGAAGAGGACGAGCTCGCATCATCCTGTGAAACCTTAACGGAGCAAAAAACGGAGCTAAAGAAAAACACGGACAGCATAATTCAGTTCACCCCACCCCCAACACCGGAGCATTCCCCTAAGAACAGCATAATCCCTGAAATATTATCAGTGACAAGCTATGATAAGAGCGTATTGAGCGACGCAGTTGAAAGTGCCATAAAATATTCAAACGTAATCAGCCCGTTGGCTCCTTCCCGTTCGCCGTCTGTAAGCAGCGAAAGCGAAAATGCATCCACCGCAAAATACAATCCGCTGTCAAGTTCAGTGGCGGATATGTCCTCCATTGGCAAGGAAGACGATGAGGCGACTGTTGGTAACGACGCTTGCTCTTTAAGGGAGATTTGTTTAAAATGCCTGATAAAAATGCCTTTCGGCGAAGAGATGCTGCAAGAGTTGGCTGAGGTTTCTCAGAGTATAGAGAGTTACACCAGTAAGTTACCCAGTGAGGTTTTACCGAGAGTGGCGCCCAACTTACCAGCGTTTGTGTATAACAAACAAATACAAGAATCTTTGGATGATAAAAAGGATGATACGCAACATAATGCTTCAGATAAAATAGAGGAGGAAGATGGCAAGATACCTACCACTTCAGCCCATAGACTTCTATCGATAATTCGGGAAGAGCCTTCCGTGCATTTTGAGGAATTCAACCCACGTTTTACGGAGAAATTAAGCAATGCACGCTCTCAGGCGAGAGATTTAACCGAGTGGCTTGCATTGGCGAGAAGTAAAAGCATCTCGCACATCGTGGACGAAAATACACCGGTGCATTCTCCGCTGAAACGGAGAACTTCGTTGCCACAAGAAATATACGAGCGCCAACTAAACTATTTACTGGAAAAAGAACGAAACATTCAAAGAGAACTGGAGGAGGTCGCCGAAGAAAGGATGAAGCTGAGGCAGTTTCAAGCCGACGATTTCCACATAAGTTCGAGAGGTGATTATGCCGAATCTAGAAGGGAAAGACCGGCTTCCATGCCGGTTATACCGACCGAGTTCTTCCGGCAGCAGATGTACGAGGAGTATATGGAGAAGATGGCCGCTCGCGAGGAACGAAAACAACTCAAAGTAATCAAGTTATCCACCTCTAAAGTAAACATACCCGAGGACACTGAAGATAAGCTAGGGGACGTCCAACACATTTGTGCTATCGAGGAGGAATTCATGGAGAAACTCAAGCAAAAAAACGGCGGTACTCTCAAGGAAAACAGTGTTGAACCACCTGCCACCAACAACATTCTTGAAGATGAAGAACCGGTTCTAATAATGGATGGTCCCTCACTGTCCGGCTCGAAGAAGCTACCCAAACATCTTAAAGAGTTCATAGACATAACCAAACATCAACAAACCGAAACCATATGCGAGAACACATCGGAAGGTGAGCAATCGTTGTTGTACTAACAAAAATAAATCCGTTTACCACTAAAACCTGTTGTTTTTTTGCTTCGCTGTTGTGTTGTGTTGCTAGCTATTTATAAAACCTAATAGTCTTTTGTAGAGGCGTGACGTAACGGATTTAAATTAAGCCAGTGCGAAATTAAGTCACATTAAAAAGTTAAAATTAACTTTTGTTAAATTTAGATTGCGATGATACGTTTTTAGTAAATGAGAATGTTATCATTGACAAACGCGACGTTGCCGCTAACAATGTAGCCATTTTATCTATTTATTGTAAAATCCTAGGTAGGGGGAAGTTTCAATGCAGGAAAAAATGCTGCAAAGAGGCAAGGAGAGTCTACAGAGCTTTGAGTAGAAATAGAGGACAAAATAACAGTAGTTTGTTGCATGAGATTGATGCCGCTTTGGTTTTGGCTAAAGGGTTTTTGATTTCTAAAGGTTGGTGTGTCACTAACATTACATTAAGTACTAAAAACTTTTTTGTCGAGTGAAAATCGGGATAATATATTTTTGGGGAAAGACAATGTTAGTAGTGTTTAAGCAAAAAAAGAAAACAATATTGTCCTAAATCTTTTCACTCTTTGTGTTTTGTATATTGACATAAATAAATGTTATTAATTATATATTGTATACAGGGTGTTATGTAATTAATGTTATATATTAAAATGGGTTGTTCCTTAGGGTCCATAAAGAAGCACCTGAAACTTTTTTTTCTAAATTCCAAAGTCTAAAAATAATTTATAATAACCTTTATCCTACCAAAAAGTACGCCACTGATCGACTAGGAACTTTAGGTTAATCTGGTGGATTTATTATGTTATGGTTGGTAACAACAGTGATTCCAAAATCTCTCAAAAAAGTTGACAAACATTGTTTAAATTTAGCTTAATTACAAAAATAACAAAATTAACAATGCAAATTGTCAATTTGGCGTTTTTATTAATTGTTGGTTATTTCATTTTTGTACTGAAGGTAAATTCAAACAAAATCTGACAAATTTTATGACAGAATCTAGTGCATTTCTTTTAAATTTTAGGTTATGTTTTCAAATTGTAAATATCTTAACTAAGGGAAGTGCTTTTGGATTTATTTACACAAATTAAATGTTTAAAGTTTAACCTGTGAACTGGTCCCAATTTCATCTGAGTAAACAGAGAAAAAAATTGATGAAAAAATTAATTTTGTGGTTATGGATTTCAAATTTCAAAGGTACTAAATTTTCTAATCATTGCTTAAGCTAATAGCTGGATCAGTAAATAAATACAGAAGGGTATTAGAGCTTTAAGGGCATAAAACTTTTGTATTTATTGAGTTTTTATTTATTTTTTGCAAGAAAAATTTTTAGTAACAATTTTTTACATCTGGCAACGCATAGCTACTTTGTTGGTTGGTATCTATGTACTCCAAAATACAGGTGTGCAGAGATAAACAAGTTTGTAACCAGTGGCGTATCACAAAAAATATAAAAAACTTCTAATGCATATTTTTTCTTTATCTTTGGAAAAATGTTCTTTTAAAATATTTTTCCTTTATTCCTTATGTCAAAAGGTATTCAGTATTTTAATATATAACATTAATTACATAACACCCTGTATAAGAGTAAATAACATTATTACTTCTAAAAATAGAAACAAAATCATAATCGGTTTATTAAATAATCGTTAAACCAGGTATGCATTTGAAACTTTTAGAGGTTGATTTATATTTAAAGCCAATCATAACTGATTGGCATAGTTTGCCAAAAAGTGTATTTTGAGAATTAATGATTTCCTCTGAATGCTGCTATTGCAAAATAAGAGAAATCGCCTATTTAAAATTACAAAGATAATTACTTATGATAAAGTAGACAGTTTAATTGATTTTTTTTAACTAAAGATAAACATTTCAAAAAGTAATGGAGCTAAATAAATCGGGAAAATTAGATAATTTAGTACGTCAATCAGGCGAGTGGGTAAACAGAACATTACTGGAAAATTTAATTTTAGAATTTTCCTTGATGATTTCAGTTTCATAATGATCGGTGAATTTTTATTGAATGCGTAATGATGATAAATTTAAATCTAATAACGGGTATTGTTGGGAATATTAATTTATGTTTATAATAGTATATTACGTATCAAGTTTGATAATTAGACACGAGCAAGCTTGCGAGCGAGTTTATAATTAAATGAGTGCCTAGAAAAGTTTATAAACGCGTTGCATACTATAATTTTTCTACGGCAAATACTTATTATATCTTAAAATGATTTTAATTAAATATTTGTATAGAGCCACATCTTTAAAACAATTGAGTAACCATTCAAACTTGGGAATCTGTATTACCGGCGCGCCGGTCATATTGCCAAATTTTTATGTGTAAATCGAAATGTATCCCTTGAAAATGGACTAACCAACGTTTAAATCCGATATAGAAGCAGTGTTTTCAGTAAGTGTTTTATGGGCACTCTCCACCCGAAATTTTTAATAGTTAAATCTTCTGTACTATCTAGAAGAGAAACTAGTTAATACTTTTGTTTTTTTGTATTGAAATAATAAAATAATTTTCACATTTAGTATTTTTTTACAAGAAAGGCAGTTTATTTTAGCGGTTGTATAACATTTGACAACTGTCAACTAACTTAAAACTAACTTCAGCCCGTGACTAAAACGCCATAAAGCCACAATTTGTCAATGTGTATTTAAAAGGTCACTTAGTGTCATGGAAACATGTACGATAATGGGCGTTCATAAGGTTGAAGTAGAAAATAGTATATTATTTATCAAGTTTTATAAACGCCATTTTAGTTACGAGTTTTATTAAGCACGAGCGAAGCTTGCAAGCGAGTGTTTAATAAAAACGAGTGTCTAGATAAGTTTATAAAACGAGTTACATACTATACTTTATCTATGACGACCACAAAGGAGAATTTAAATCCAATTTTATTTGTTAAACATTTGACATCTGTCAAATGTCAAAGGAATTAACCTCACTTTTCTCTAATTTATAATAAAGCTAACTTCAGCCCGTGACTAAAATGCCCAAAAGCCACTATTACTAACTTCAGCCCGTGACTAAAACGCCATAAAGTCGCAGCTCCTCAATGAAGGAGTAGATAAAAATTATTTATCTACAAACGCTGCTTTCAGTAATAGCATTAACATTAATTATAAAGTAAATTTACGTTATGTTTATAAAAATAACACTCTTTCAGATGCAGAAACGCATTGATATACCTATATGGTTATTATTATTTGTCCAAAAAAACAGTTCTATACCATTTACAAAAACGGTTTGTAGTATTAATGAAACCCTAATGGTATTATTCATAGAAATTTTGTAAATTTTACAAATCCCTTTTCGTTTAAAATAAAACTTTTTTTATAAGATTAATAAAATTTATGTAAATTTAACAACAAATTAATTGTTAATTCAATAAACTCTTTTCATTGTAACAATGGTCACATTTTCAACCTACTGTTGGGTGTTGGGTGGTTTTTTTTAAATAATTGTAAGGCATTAAAACAAATTATTTATTATAACAAAAAATTAACTTATAATATATTATGTACAAAATAAAAAAATATTAACTCACTTTTTAAACAACAAGTCTGTTTCGTTTATAGAATAGACCTTAAATATTTCTTTTAGAAAACGACGAAATTTTAATTTTCTTAGTGATCTTTTTGATATTTTTATCATGATAGATTTTACCACACTTCACTCGCACTAGTGAAATCAATAAGATTATAACACAGACTTTGGATTATAAAGTTTTGTTCACCAAGGAGAGCGCTGGCCCTTTCCCCCTCTTTTTAAGGGAAATAACAAAAATTTTGTTACCATTGGAAAACAATAGTTAATATTAAAAAAGTATTTTTATAGTAATAAAATATTTTTGTTATTGTTCTTAACGTAAGCTATTAACAAAGATTAGGTGGTACATTTTTTTATAGCCATTACAATTTTAAATTTAAGTTAAATAATATTATTTTATTAATTGCTTACAAAATTAGTTTCATTATCAATGCATGTAGATACACTTTTCTGAGTGTAATTATATTTTTTGTTTAAATATTTAATTTTATCCTACAAAATTGACTTTTTAGCCATCTGTGTCTAAAAGAGTAATTTCTTATATAAAAAAATACAGGAAATAAAAAAAATATAATTTTGCATTTCTTGTATAATTTTAAAATTTATATTTTTATAAAAATTTATAATTTAATTTTTTTTATTTTTATGATTACGATTATGCCATGGCGTTTACTTTGTATGTAGAGTTTTTAATAATAGGTAAATAATTATTATTTATAATGCTTCAGTCTTACAATTATTTCTATAAATATTAGGGTGTTTCAAAAAAACCTTTTTTTTGTTTTTTTTCTCGGAACCACGCTCAAAAGTTTCGTATAGATATAAAAATGAGCATGTGATAAAATGAGCTCTTAATTTCAAAATTAAGATGTTCCGCATCGCACTTTTCGATTTTCCATAAGAATAACATAGGAAAAATTATTTTTGTTTCTTTTTATTTTTGTAACTAAAGAACAATAGGTCGTACTTTAAAGTTCTTGACATATTTTTGTAGAGAATTGAACGCTCTACAAAAAAGGTTTCTTATGATTTTTTGATAAATTTGATCCTTCTAAATAAATTTAACGTCAAAGTTCAAATTATACAAAATTTTTGGGTTTTTTTAACTTATTTGGAGTCTGCCCGACTCATTTAAAAAATTTTGAAATATTTTTGTAGAGAATTGAACGCTGTTTTTCCGAACTTCCAGAGCTCAAAAACAATATTTCGATTCGTTTTTAGCACTTTGAACTAAAAAATCCAGAAAAATCCAAGAAAACGACTAAATTGACGGTTAATTTCACTTTAACCTTGAATAACTTTTAACCAAGTTTACTTACCGAAAAATGACTCTAGTTCTTTTTTGTAGAAGGTTCAATTCTCTACAAAAATATTTCAAATTTTTTTAAATGAGACAGGCAGTTAAA